GCCGAAAAACTTTACTAAAATATTACTGCAACACTGCAACAACAATGGAAAATAATTTTAAAACCGTGTTGATAACGCAGGTTTTTAGGAATAGAAACTTCGACAAGAACTTAACAACGCCACAAATTAAACCCCAACAACAACAACAACAACAACATAGACGGAATAATTCGATGTCTGAAAATGCTTGGCTGAATTCATGGAGGTTGCTGATTGATTGGCTGAGGTCGAAACAATATCAGTCAAATGAAAGTGTTGTTCAAAGCACTCTGGTTGGTTGGTTGGTTGGTTGGTTGGTTGGTTGGTTGGTTGGTTGGTTGGTTGGTTGGTTGGTTGGTTGGTTGGCTGGCTGGCTGGCTGGTTGGCTGGCTGGCTGGTTAGTTGGCTGGCTGGCTGGTCGGTCGGTTGGTTGAATGATCAGTTGGTTTTACTATCACGTCTTTAACTACTAAGTTATTTTTAACAACCTCATCAAACACATATCAACATTTCTTCTCTCATACATTCACAAATGATATGTCAGGCCATTCAGCCAATCACAGTAGCCATGCAAGGAGATATAAATAGCCGCAAAGAATTTCAGCCAATAGGAGAGCAACTACCATGTTCCGAATATATAACGATGAATTTGGCTGGCTTTCAATCATCCAATAGCGACTCAGACACCGTTAGAAATTTAAATATCTGATAATAGTTTTAATGATTACTTTTAATAATTATAATAATAACAAAATAAAGAATAATAATATATTAAAAATATAAATAAAAATACTAGGGATATTTTTGTTTCAAATTAGACAAAATCAGGCAGTGATATCGCCATTAAAAATTCTGTAAATCGTGGTGGTGATGATGATGGTGATGATGATGGATCTAGTCAACAACAACATCAACAACAACAACAACAAAATGAACAACATCAACAACAACAAAACGAACAACACGATCAACAATTTCAAAATTCAACATCAGAGCAACACAAAGTTTTTGAGAAAAAGGTCTCCAAAACGGCGACGTTAACGACAAATTTGAATCAAAATCAGCAGCAACAGCAGCAGCAATTGCATCCACAGCAACTACAGCCACAGCAGCAGCAGCAACAACAACAACAACATCATCCGATTTATTCAGACCACTTTTTCTCTCAGAATAAATTTGGTTACTCCTTATCAAACAGGTCTTCCGTTAAGTCTGACGGCTCTGTCATATCAGGTGGGACATAATTTTGAATAATTAATACTAGTAGTAGTAGTAGTTGTTGTTGTTGTAGTTGTAATAGTAGTAGTAGTAGTAGCAGCAGTAGTAGTAGTGGTTGTTTTGTAGTAGTGGTTGTGTATTATTATTATTAGTAGTAGTAGTAGCAGTAGTAGTAGTAGTAGTAGTAGTAGTAGTAGTAGTAGTAGTAGTAGTGGGGGTAGTAGTAGTAGTCATCGTATTAGTAGTAGTAGTAGTAAAAAATAATAACATCATCATCACCACCCCCAGACAACCACAAACCGCCGGTGAAGCAGACACGCTGTCTCTTGCCATATGGGTTTGTTTACGTCACGTGGTCGATCGTCACCCTGGTTACAATTGGCTGTCTGGCTGGCTGCATCTATTTTACCCTCGGGTAATTATGATAATGATGATAATGATGATGATGTGATGATGAATGAATGAATGGACGAATGAATGAATGAATGAATGAATGAATGAATGAATGAATGAACGAATGAATGAATAAATGAATGAATGAATGGATAAAAAATGTATGAATTGGTTAATTAATAGAACGATGGTGGTCAACATTTAACTTGTATTTTTTCATCATCATCATCTTTCTATGGTTAATTTTTTCGTGATCATCATAATCGTCATCATCAGATTCAGCACAACGAGATCATTACTATGGCTGCAATCGGTCTTTTTCAGTTTGGTGATGTGCATATTCATCAACCAACCCATCATCGTAAGTGACGATGATGATGATGGTGATCAATCAATCAATTAATCAATCAATCTATCTATCTATTTATTTATTTATTACGGAGACCAGAAGTGCAAAGGCTTATATGGCCACCAAGAAAAACGACATCAAATCAAGCAATAAAACGAAATCAAAAATTAACATGAACCAAAGAAAATTAAAATTAATGTTCATTCCAGGAAAAATAACTAACAAAATTATAAGTTAAATGAAAAATTATTGAAATCCAAAAATAATAATTATAACACGCTTTCGCCTAAACAAACACGGATATAAAAGAAACCTTTTACATCAGTGTAAACAAATAAAAATGTTAATCTCATAAATTTGTTATAAACCATTAAGAAATGAAAATATTTAATAATAATTGACAAAATGATTGTTTTTTAAAAGGTTCAATATAATTTTTTTAAATCAATCAATCAATCAATCAATCTGTCTATCAATCAATCAATCTATCTATCTATCAATCAATCAATTAGTTTATAAAGCGCTATTTCCCCGATGTTCAACAGCGCTCCTGGGTGGGTCTTGAGATCCGCTCTGAACTTCGTAAGTGATGAAGAAGAAGTCAGAGAAGGAGGTAGAGAGTTTTAGAAAAAAATGGCCAGAAAAAGCAAATGCAGATTTAGCGAAAGAGTATTTAACACGAGTTAAGAAGAAGTGAGAACAAGAATCGTTTAGGTTCAATTAATATATCTGATAAGTACAATTAAGTCAAATTGTTTGGATGATGACTAAACTGCTACCATCATCATCGTCATCATCATCATCGTCGTCATCATCGTCGTCGTCATCATCATCCCCATCAGATCTTCTTAATGACGTTATATACGGCGATAAAGTACCGGAATAGCATGATAGCATTCGACCATCATAATGACGGTCTCCTTGACCTCTCAGAATCCAGCTCGTTCATTGGTCGTCAGTCGGAAGTGGGCGGAGACAGCGATTTGGTGTTAACCAATGAGAGACTAGACAAGGCTGAGATTGATGTTGATGCTGATGTTGAACAGGTCATTCTTATTACAACAACAACTACTACTATCACCATCGCTATCATAATTATCACTATCATTACCGTCACAATCAACACCGTTATCATCATCATCATCATCACCATCAATCCCAGTATCATTATCATCATCATTATTAATATCATAATCATCATCATTTTTATCATCATCGTTATCATCGCTAGGGTCTACTGGCGAGACAGCGGTCTAGGTACTTGCGTCTAGTTAGACCGCCTCAGGAGCAGAAACTCATCGAGGCGAGACATCAGAAAATGAAGGAGAACATTGCTATGTCGTTTGTTAAGTTAGTTGATTGATGGATTGGTTGATTGATTTATTCATTTATTCAATCAATCAATCATTGATTTAATCATTCATTTATATCTTAATTCATCCAATCAGTCGTTTAGTTATTCGTTCATTCTTTAATCGGTCATTCAATCAATTAGCCAATCAATTAGTCAATCAATTAATCAATTAGTAAATTAATCAATCAATTAATTAATCAATCAATCAATCAACTTATCGATCAACTAATCAATCAATCAACCAATCAATCATCCAATAACAAAACCAGGGAAGTATTTTTGTTGTTGTCGCAACTGGCTCTTGTGTTGTTGATCAGTTGCGGTCTATCTAACAACCACAAAACCCTCTGGCTCAACTCTGCCATCAAAGAGAATTTCATTAAGTCTGTTCATCTTTTGATCGTTGTTAATGTTTGTTTGTTCAATCACCGTTCTTTCATTCGTTCATTCAATCATTCACTTATTAATTCATCAATTCATTCGTCTTATCATTCATTCATTCATTTAATCGTTCATTCATTCAGACCAGGGCATAATAATTCGTTCATGAACGTAACGACTTTCAACGATTGGGACGCCTGGTACGCTGGTGTGTTCGCCGACGCTCTGCAGTACTCTTACAAGGTCTGTGTTGTTGTTGTTGTTGTTGATGTTGTTGTTGCTGTTGATGTTGTTGTTGTTGTTGATGTTGCTGTTGTTGTTGATGTTGTTGATGTTGTTGTGTTTTGTTTGGGTGTTTGTCAATCATTTAACTAATCACGCAGCAGCCAACGAATCAATCAATAAACCCAACAGCTAACAACTAACTCGTTCATGAATTACTTATGAACCATTCTCCAGCCAATCAATCAACCAACCAGTCAACCAACCAACCAATGAACATTCTCCAGCCAACCAGCCGCCAATCAATCAATCATCCAACCAACCAACCAATCATTCAACCAACCAATCAATCAACCAATCAATCAACTATCCAACAAACCAACCAATCACTGATCAGAACGGCTACATGTTAGTGGGTGGCATAACCTTACAGCAACATCGTGTCAGGTTCATCCGGTGCCCCAACGACAACATCCACCTTCTCTTTAACGTCACTACGCCAATTTATTCCACCACCAATAACAATAGCAATAATAATACTTATAACAACAATAATAAAAATAATAATGTACTTAATAGTAATAAGAATAGGATCTTGTGTGTGCCGGTTTATAAAGAAGCACACGCAATTCGCGGTTCATTTTACGATGGTGATTTTTATAATAATAATAATAATAATAATAATAATAATAATAACAGTAATAATAATAACAATAATACTAATCGAAATAATGTTAATGATGTTAGTTACGCCACTACTAGCCTTGTGTTTATGAATGGTAATGTTTCATCTAGAGTTACTGTGGAAAATAATCTCAACAATTATACGAATAATAATAATAATGACAATGACGTCACATCATTTTCATCAATAAAAACATCAACGACAACAACACTAACGACAACGCTAACAACAACAACTGCAGTAACAACAACAACAACAACAACAAAGAAATATGAGGAGTTTGTTGAAATACCACTACCAAACAATGATAAAGAAACTAAACCAAAAACCGGAGCTGATTCGATTATTGGGAATTCCCAGATCTGGAAATACCGACAGCAAAACGAAACCATGCTCTCGACTTATCACGGGATTTTTGCCTCATACAGTGGCGATGGATTTTTACTGGATTTGAAAAAACTCAATAGGCCAGTGGTATTCTTTATTTTTTTAAATATTATTCAATTATTTTAAAATTATTATTTATTGTTATTTTATATTATTATAAAACAATTAAAAAATTATTATTATTGTATTGCGGACACAGGACGGAACCATTAAGGAACCTTATAGACAGCGGATGGATCGACGAACATACAGCCGCTCTCATTCTGACCTTGACCTTCTACCACCCATCGTCCGATCTATTTACGTCACTTGCACTTTCTCTGGAAATCCCGCCGCTGAATCGGGGATTCCCCAGTAGCAAAATCTCATCCGTTGCCGTTTGCAGATATCTTAGTGACTGGGAGAAAGTTCTGTTCGCCTGTGAAGTTGGTTGATTTGATTGATTGGTCGGTCGGTCGGTTGGCTGGTCGGTCGGTCGGTCGGTCGGTCTGTCGGTTGGTTGGTTGGTTGGTCGGTTTTTTGGCTTTTGGTCAGTTGTTTGAATTTATTTCATAAAATTAGTGATTGGATATTTTTAAAAGCCCATATGTTGAATAATTTATTAATAAATCATTCGAAATTGAATCGAGTTTTCATACTCCCAATGAATCAATCTATTAACCAACCAATCAATCAATCAATCAATAGTTCACTTATTCAACCAACCAATCATTCACTCATTCAACTAACCAACTAATCAATCAATCCATCAACCAATCATTCAACCAACCAATCCATCAATCAGCTGTTATTCTTCGTTCTAACATTCGGTAAGATGTACTCTCAACTGTTGAACGTCGTTCAAAAAGGCGGTAGAGAAGCATTCAAATTGGGGTTCCTGGTTGAAGTTGGTGATGATAATGATGGTGATTGTGATGATGACGATGAAAATGATGATGATGGTGGTGATGGTTATTCATTTGTTCATTCGTTGGTGCATTTTGTCTATCTTATAATTCATTAATTTATTAATATTTGTGTTTGTTTATCAAAAAGTTATTTAATCAATCCATCCATTTCTCTAAACCAATTTCGCAGTTTATTATCTTTGTCCTGTCGTTCTCCTTTCTATGCTGTTACGTCAAACGTTACGAGGTATTATCGTCCGCCCTCGATGACATCATGTTTGCGTCATATCAGGAAAGAAGTGTGGATGTTTACACTGTTGATTATGCCGACGATGTTAGATTGCTGGCTGGTCAATTAATTAATTAATTAATTAATTAATTAGATATTCAATCAATCAATTAGGCCTAATGATAGTGATCTGCCATTCAGTAAACCTTAAATCGCCAGATTAATTAATTAAACGATCAACAGATCAATCTGTCAAACAAACCAATCAACCAACCAATCAATCAATCAACCAATCAATCAGTCAACCAACCAATCAATCAATCAATCAGTCAACCAACTAACTAACCAACCGGTCAACCATTCAATCATTTGCACGTTCAGGTGTTAAGCTTCATAATGAGCCTCATACTCATCATAACCTGTGTCTCGTTGGTGAGAGTGTTGAAGCATTTGAATTTGTTCGCTTCTGTCATCAACGTCTTCTATCGCTCCATATCTGATGTCTTTATTCTAATGGTTGGTTGGTTGGTTGGTTGGTTGATTGATGGATTGATTGATTGGTTGGCTGTTTAATTAGTTGGTTGGTTGGTTGGCTGATTGGCCAATAGGTTGATTACTGATTTATTGACAAGTTGGCTTCTATTTCTTCTATTGTTTATGCATAGTAATTTATCATACACATTGTCGTAATTATTTGCTACGTCATCATCATCATCGTCACCGTCAAAAACAAACAGATCATCATCATCATCTGGTTGGGGGCATTCACCTCGTGTGGGCGGGTCCTCTTCTCGTCAACCAATCACAACTTCGTTCACGTGGGCCACACCCTCTGCCAGGCATTCTCAATGCTAACGTTTTCCAGACACATGATGTCATCGTACCACGTGACGTCGTCCGGTCATCTGACTTCACGGGATCACGTGATGTACGATGACGTAATGGGGATGGGGGTGTGGTTCGTCTTTCACGCGCTGTTTCTGATTCTGGCGGTCGTCATCGTGATATCCTACGTCAGTTTTTTTTTTCCAATTCAATTTAAGTTACTAATTCTGTGTCGTTTGTTTGTTTGCCGGAGAAATAATATTTTTGAAATTGTACTGTAATCGTGTACACACGATCAAACGATGTATATATATATATATATATACAATGATGTACACATACACACGCACACAAAACACGCACACACACACACGGATGCACGCACGCACTCACATTTATATACCATCACTATTTTTTCCACAGACAAAGGCCTTCTTGCAGAACAACCAACGTTTCTTCAAAGAGGAGACCAAGGTGATCTTCGACACGCGCGAAAATTTGAAGTTCTACCTGCAGGAAGTGGCCAGGGCTCTTAAACTGGTGAATAAGTGCGCTGGGGGCGTTTCCGGTTCCGGTTTCGATGGAAACGAAGATTACGATGGCGATGATCGAATGGGAGTCTTTGATCAACTACTTCCTGTTAGTTTCTGCCTGGGGGTGGATGGTTCGAGGCTGGCTATCGTTATCATTGTCCGACATCATTCTTATCATTTTTATTATTATTATTATAATTATTATTGTTATTGGTATCACGTTCGATTTTTTTTTGTTTTTTGTTGTTATCCGTATGATTAGTATGATCATCTTCATCGTCGCTATCAATTCTTTCTTCAGATCGTTGTGAATATGTCATGATCGTGTTGACATTGCTATGACGTCATCTTCATCGCCATCTTCATAACCACCATCATCATTGCCATCATCATCACCACCATTATCGTCATCATCACCACCACCATCATCATCACCACCATCATCGTCATCATCATCTTTATAACCGTCATCATCGTCATCATCATCTTCACTATCGTCATCAGGAATTTACTATGAGAGAAGTAGAGAACCAAGTAGACGAGGTCCTATTCAAGATGGCAGCTCTAACCGGGGAATCGAATCTCCCGCTTAAATGGGCCAACTACTTAACCGACTCGGATTTTAACGTCGCCGTCGACGATGATGATGATGATCGTAATGGTGGTGGTGGTGGAAGTGGCGATGATGGTGGTGGTGGTAAAGAAGATAATGGTGATGACGATGATGGTAGCGAAAATCTCAATAGAAGTGTATGTGTATGCTGATGTAGTGGTTTATGTTTTGTAGTTTTGTATATGTTGATGGACAACATGATGATGATGATGATGATGATGATTATGATTATTATTATTATTATCATTATCATTATTTCCGTTTTAAAGAATCGTGGACAGAAAACTGTACGGTTGAACAAGCGAGATATGAATTATGAAGAGCAGCTGTTGTATGTATTCTCTCACCAAATGAATGAATGAATGAATGAATGAATGAACGAATGAATGAATGAATGAATGAACGAATGAATGAATGAATGAATGAATGAATAAATGAATGAATGAATATATCAGTTTTTTTTTAATTTATTTGCCTTTTATTTAAATTTGTCAGCCTCCAAATGGAGATGGAAATTCTGAAACAACTGCAGCTGAGAAAACTACAGAAACGACCACACGAACATTCAGGAGGACCACAACAACCACAGCAGCCACAACATCTACTACAGCAGCCACAACATCTACTACAGCAGCCACAACAACCACAACACCAACTGCAGCAACCACAACAGCCGCCGAGTCAGCAGCCAAATCAGCCGTCAAAATTTTTACGCAACCGATTTAAATCAGCTACCCTTCTGCCGGGGTCATCTACGTCATCGTCTCTTGATTATTACGATTGTAACGATAACAATAATAATAATAATAATAATAATAATAATAATAACAATAATAATAACAATCATAATATTAATAACAACAGCAGTAGTACTGCTATTGCTCCTGCTACTGTTGCTACTACTGATGATGCTGCTACAATTGCTACACCTACTACAGCCGCTACTTTTGTTACTAATACTTATACTACCATCACAACTACTTCAACTACACGTGTCACGGCTACTACTGCTTCAATCGCTTCTGCTGATAATGATAATACTAATAAGGGTGTAAATCTGTCATCATCATCGCCATCGTTACTAGCGACAAGATCATCTTCTTCATCGTCGTCGTCGTCTTCATCGCCGAATGACGTTTTGTTATTACAAGAAACAGCTTGTTAAGAAATTAGTCTGTATATATATGTATGTGTATATATATATATATATATATATATATATATATCGATTATTTGTTAAGAACCAGTTTTAATAGAAAATAATTTGCCAAAAAAAAAACGAATGTTTGTCTGGGATTCGTTGACAGAATATGAAAGCGGTATGTGTCGGATTGCAAATCCAGACGATTGAGACTAACAATCCTTATGAATAAATAAAAATACCACAAACTAATAAATTAGTTCGTGGATACTGTAGAAAGAACAAAGCTGCGGTACTGTTCTGATGGGTATTCGGGCTGCTGATTAGCACACAGCTCTTCATGGTTTGATGTTCTCATACGTTAGAGCAACTGCAAGAGAGGGCTTAATTTATCTATAATAAAACCCTGTCACTGATATGGTTAAAACTTTTTAATCGAGTTTTAAAGTATTTTGTGAGTTTGTGAAAAATAATTTTTATTATGAAAAAGATTTGTCGAAAGCTGCACGGTTGATTGGCTGAGATGGAGGTGTATTTTGACATTTTAATGAAAAAATACAGTTTACCGTATCATAATGTGTCATTTTAACAATCTTAATGCTTCCTTAATTTAAGAACTTCATTTTTCTTCCTCATATTCTACTGAGACTGGAAGTTGAGAAGTCTTCCTACATACATGCCTGCCTTCGATAAGAGGTAGAGAGCAAAATGTCAAAATTAACACAATTGAAAAAATATAAATCAGATATTTTGCATTTAGAAAAATAATTAAATAAAAGGTATATTTTAAATTCCGTTAGTTTCATTGCAAAAAAAGATTTTTTAGTTGAAAGTTTTTATCAAAAAATCCCAACTTCTTTCCATATGTCTATAGATTCTCGATAAAAAAATTAAAAGTGGATTTAGGTTTCTAAAGTTTAAGTTTTCAATTAATTTTATCTATTAAAACGTCCAAAAAGATGAAAAAATGAATTTGGATCCCCTAAATCTCCTACTTAATGTTTGTATATTTGGGTGTATGAAAATGTTAATTTGTGTATTATGTATGTCTATCTTTATTTTGTTTATTTTGTTTTCTGACAATCAGTGATTTGTTAATCTGTAATCAGGTGATCATAATGGATATATGTCAGATACGTCCGCCCCATTCTAAGCGCTCACATGATCACACGCACACACGCAATTGTATGTAAATTAGTTTTAGAGATTGGTAAAAAAAATAGATTAAAAACTATTAAATTAAAATTAAATTAAAGATAAGATTGACTTTAAAATTTTTTATATTATATAGTCATAAGAAAATGTAAGTGGAGATTCAGGTGTTGTTAGGTTCATAAATAAGTAAGATTAAGATGAGATATTTAATATTACATGGTGGGGGTGACATATTTGTCTTAATATTGTTGTTAAATTAACAATGTTAATTTTTCACCATGCTTATTTCACTGAATTTAAAAATAAAAACCCAAACAAATTAGGCTGATTTTTAAAACTTCTATTTTTACTTAAAATGTTTAATAATGTTTTACAGGTTTCTGATAAAGATTCTCTGAGAAAAATTTGTTTTGACTCTTTTAGTTACAAACAAAAAAATCAGAGATTTGATGATAATTTAGTAAATTTTGTCCTTAAAAGTTTGGCATTAGAAGATCAAAAGCAATCAATTGAGGTATTATTTATTTAATTATTATCAAACTTATCAGGTATCAACATGCTTCACACACACACATATGTGAATACATGGGAATCCATGCCTAACACACATTGTATGTGATAATTGGGGATCTATTTGCATTTGAATCAAGTCTCTGCTACAGCCAAGCACCTTAACCATTTGCTATTATTATAGTTTGTTAATATTTTATTATTATTATTGTTATGTTATTCAGGTCATAAATACCCTCCAGAAGTTAGAAACGAAATGCATTTTTGAGAAATACTCAACTACACAAGAAATAGATGCTTTGTTTCCAAGTTTAGATAAAAATAAAATAGAATTATTATTCTAATTAATTAAGTAAATAAATAATTAATAATAATATGATTTTTCCAAAATTATAAAACAATATTTTTATTTATTTTTTTAAGGTGATTTTCAGGCAAATTTGAAAAAATTTCTCTGTGAGTTCGTTTTGAAAAACTCATTCATTTGGAGCAGTATGACAGCTAATAATTCAAGTATAATAAAACTAACAATTATTATTATTTATATTAATTATTATTAATAATTATTACTAATAATTATTATTAATTATTTTTATTATACTTTGTTGTGCTATAATATTATTTTTCTCTGTAGTTATCCTGCCCAGGCTGGTTGATTTTGATTGGAGGGTTGATCTGATGACATGTGATCAACAAAAGATTCCAAATTGCGTCCTTAGTTTAAAAGTGAATTTTAAAATTTTTAATATTATTTGTTGTTGTTTTGTTTTATTTAATTTAATATTTATTAAAATAATGAGTTATTTCAACTTTAATTTGTATGTTCATCTCTAGGCTTGTTAGAATTAGCTCATTCAAATGCCCATTCATTTGTTCATTCATTCATTCATTCATTCATTCATTCATTCATTCATTCATTCATTCGTTACTCCATTCACTCTTAGAATTGAAAAGTATCAAGTTTTTTAGCACTTCTCTGGTCAATCAATCAATCAATCAATCAATGATTAGCACTTCTCTGGTCAATAATAACTTAGAAATGACAACATTCATAATGACATTAATATCATTCAGATTTTACAACCAATGAGTTCAGATCTGCAACCATCTTCATCATCGTCGTCGTCATCGCTGAAATCACGTGACATTGGTTTAGACAAGGCTTCTATGAGTCTAATGCTTGATTCAATGAATAAGATTAAAGAACAGTTGAATGCTCTGGCAGATAGATGAACGTACGTACCAACAGACAAACACACACATACACACACCTGTATATACATATATATACATACACACACACACCTATGAATTTACTATTATTATGGACATTTGATTTTTGTTTGTTATGAAGCAAGATGAATTGTTTATTTTTATTTGGTTTCAGGACTATGAAAATAATTTCATAACGGCATATACAAGTTTCATAAATGATATATATCAATACTCATTGATATCGTCTGGCGCCGTGGAAATGTTTTATAATTAGTATTAGAACTCTTGATATAGCTGATACATTGATGTCGTGAAAATGTGTTTTTTGTTTATTGAGCGTACAAAAAAGATTTTCTTTCTAGGTATGTTGAGATGAAATCTAAAATTTGTAGTTAAAATTATGTATACACATACACGCATACACGCGCGCACACAATGAATAATGGTGATACATAAAGTGTATGTAGGTCGTTTGTGTGCGTGTATGTGTGTGTGTGTGTGTGTGTGTGGTGTTATTTTGTTAACTGGCTAGCTAGGCTAGTTGTCGGAATAATTTTTGACAAAGTTGAATTATAAATAGTATTTTGGACGAATTTCACGAAAATAGTCGGTTCGTTGTTCCTTGTTAGACTGGTTGCCTGGTCTTGCAAATAATATTTATTATTATATTTATTAAATATTTCTGGTATATTTTTGTTTAACTTCAACTTTTATTTTCTTTTGTTTATGACGTCAAAGTATTTTATGTTTACAAAATTAAAAATAAACGGACTTTGTTTCTGTCTTTTGTTATTTTCTCCATAGTTAAAAAATGAACCATTTATTTTTAATTTGCTTTCTCGTGAGCTGGGGCTCATGTTTCCAACGTCCGATGGATGTCATCATGGACAGTAGAAGTAACATTGCATCAGAAGAATTAAACGTCAACGGTATTAACACTTCTGGTGCTAACGTAATTAATGAAACATTTCTCGAGAATAGCAGCAAGTTTGATCATAATAATACCGATCAGCCCCTATCTTCATCATTTTACTTAACTTTCCAACTTCAAAATGCAACCAACAATAAAATAAAAATCACGAAAATATTTGAAAGGGCCGCAAATTTTCAGGAGGAAAAATCAGCTGCAGGGGAGAGTGAGCCAGTCCCTGCAGAATCTGGAACAGCTGAGGAAGCTCCGATGGCGCTGAAGAAGAAGGTTGAGGATTTCAAAATTGTGGCCAAAGATGGATGGACGCATGTAGGCAACAAAGAGCGGGAAGCTAGACGTCACGGAAGGAAGAGTTCCGATCAGAGTAGGTACTTCAGCAAAGCGGATAAAAAGTTTAATCAGTACTTTGATAAAATGAGAAATTATTTTGAGGAACCGTTTCGTGATCCGTGGTTCAAGGGCGGCAGTAAAAGTAGAGGAGGAATGCGGGTCTCGTCATGGAGAGAAAAACCCAGAATGGATGATTTAGACGACGACTACAATTATTATGATTATCCAGATGATTATATGGATGATGAGTACTATGACAGTGATGGTTATAGAGATGAAGATGATGATTATTACGATTACGTTACGGTCTGGGACGATTGGAATGATAAAGAAATTAAAAAAATGATAGAAGGTGAACGATCGAACTACAAAAATCAGGAGAACTACAACATCATTAAAACAGTCAACGATAGCGAGGGCAATCCAGTTCATATCATAATTTCTCATAGGACAGGCTATGAACTTTTGCCGCTGACCCCCAAACCAGCCAAAAAAGATGGTGATGATATAGATGGTACAAAACCAGATGACTCTTCAAAAAAGGTGACAGGAAGATATCGAAGACGTAAAGGTCGCGGAAGAAGGTGGAAAAGAGAAATAGAAAACTTTTCCCTTGAAAAAATTAACAACTTCAAAGAACAGGGCAACCATTTTCAAAAAATATTGTTAGGAATGGCTTCCGAGTATGGCAAACATCAAATGACGAACTACATGAATAATCCTAGAGCGGATACAGCTGCCGTCTCGGATCCCAACTATTGGAGAAATTATCCAAGATACTTCAACCTAAATAACACTTACATGTTGGATAACCTGATGGATGAAGAGAATAAAACATTCGAGATGCTCACAGATTTGTCGCCGTTCGAAAGATCTGAAGCTTTCGGTCAGTATCGCCAGCTCACCAACATGGTCAAAAACTTCAACAAAATTCATCGTGAAAAGCGAAGTCATTACAGAAGTAGCAGCACTAGCGACTTTTTTGAAGATTTTATCGGCGGATTAAGGGTCGCGGTATGTAATAAATACTCTTTAGATAATCCGAATCCGACATAAGTTACTTTTTAACATGAAAGTTTTAATTAAAATTGTTTACTTATTCAACAAAAGCCAAGATTTAAAAGAGACCAGATGAAGAATGCGTCGACAATAAAGGCAAACAAGGACGTTGCACAAAATTCTTCGTCAGTAAAGCGCGTGAAAAGATCCAAGGAGGAAGACGAGGTCAAGACCCCTGCATTCGATCATCTTTGCTTCTACAAAACGCAAGTTGAGGTTTGAATTTCAATTTTCAGATTGCATAACACAAATTTAATTTTTTGAAAAATTTACTTAAAATCTACTGAAATTTAGAATGCATTCAACATGTTAGCACGACTCCTAGTTCTAGATATATGGACATTCGGCTAAGATTCGATCGAGCCTTGAGATACGGCTTAACAAGACGTCAATTCATATAATTTATGAAAAAAGTATTTGGATAAAAACATTCTGACAAATTAAAAATGATAAAACACCTAACTATATAATAATTTTAAATAATTACAAACAGTTATCACTTTTTGACGAAAAGTTCCTCAAGTACTACGACGAGGTTAAAGAGTGGAAGCAGAACAAAGACAAGAAGGCCAAAAATCAAACAAAAGCTAAAGAGGAAGAAGAAAACAATAGCACAATGACAACCAACATGAGTCAGAGAGTGAAAAGACATTTCCAATGCAATAGATGGATGAGATCTAGGAGAGATATTAATGAAGATGTTAGGAACCTGAAATTGAGATCGTTGGAATCAGTCCAGCAAGATTTAAACTACATAAAAAAATTGGTGAGACGGTCTCTGGCTGCTACGGACACAAAAAACAGCAGAAAATTATTTAAAAGGGGGAGTGTCAATGACGCTTTGTCCAGTTTCAAAGCGTTTTTTGAAGATGTTTTTGGAAACAACAATGACAAGAAGATACGTGGTTCCTAGCGATTATTTGATTTTAATAAAAACTTTAATCCATCTGAAATATACATTATTAGTAAAACACACACAAAAAGTGGCATTCATTTATGAGAATTAGGTAAGCACAGAAACAAAACTAAATTTATTTTCTTTATATATTAAAAAAAACAAAAATTTAAATTAAATTAAATTGAGATAATTAAATCCTAAGAAGAATGTTCTCCAGCAACTAAGATCGAAGGTGTGAGGTTCTTTGTAGATTTATCCTCTTCCTCGAATGGCTTGTCACTCTCTCCTCTGATTTTGATGTTGTGTTTCTCTCTGTATTCCTGCAGCTCTTTCCCCTTGGCTTCCAACTGCTTTCGTAGTGTCTCGGAGATTTTCGACATCTGAAATTTTTTAAAAACTTTTTTATAAGAAATTTTAAAAATTATCAATAAAGTGGAAAAGAGATGAATTTAATTTAACGAAATTAGGAGGTAACATGCATGAAGTCATGAACAATATCTTCAAAGAAATTCTTAAACTGATGACTCATTTATTTATAATAAATGTTATGAAAACTATTCAATTGTTGATAATTAACTAATTAAGAAATCAACAATCTAATTAATTAATTAAGTAACTAATTAGCTGTCTAATAAATTAGTAAGTAACCTGTTCACAATTGTATATCACAACTGGCAAAATCTCTTGAACAGTTCTTTCCACGAGCACCCCACCAATCATTCGAAAGCATTTTCTAGATGGATCCACTTTTTTCAGGGCATCAATCACTAATCTTTATTAATTTAGTTTTGAATTAACTCTATAAAATCAAAATTTAATATCAATAATTCAATTGTAAATGAATACATACATTTAGTGATCACTTTAGTTAATTCAATAATTCTAATAATCTAATATTCTACTAATCCTAATGTGATAAATTTTCATTTTAAAATAAAAAATGTCTTAGTTGGATAACTGTACCCAATAAGATGGTTGGTCCTCAATATCAATTTAGTTAGTTGGACAATTGTACCCCAAAACCAAAAAATGGTAGAAACTAGAGAGGAGAGAAAGAGAGAGATGAGAGGCCAACCTTGGTTCAAGTTCATTATCCAATCAACAAAGAAACATAGGACAAAGCCTCTCTAAGTCCTAACTAACTAGCTTATTAATAATTGATATTAAATAGGAAGGTAAAGAAATTAAGATAAAAAATGAAATTCTCAAGGACATTTTAATTAAATTAATATAAATAAAAACAAAATTTATAAATTTAAAAAAAAAATTAAAAAAGAAAGATCCCCACTCAACTCACTCATGCTCTTTTTTATCGAGATCAACTTCGGCAATTTTATTGATTGTCATGCGCTGTTGATTTCTCAGCTCCTGAAATCCGGCGACAATTTGTTCCTGAGACAGCGATTTCGAATCGGCTTTCGTTTTTTGATTTTTAGAATCGCCACACTCAGCCATTTTAAAACTTTTATTTTGTTTAAAAATGAACCTTCAAAACAATAAACTAAAATCTCGAAAGTATATGAAATTCATTCATAGAACTCAATCGAACTCAAAAAATTAAAACCATGGATATATATAATATAATATAACCATGGACTCTACAGAAAAAACCTAAGATCCGTCTGGGCATTATAAATAACATGCAAAACCGTATACTTATAACAGAAAAAAAATTAGAATTCAGTTCTTTCTTCACAAATCTTGAAGTGGGGACCTAACTTTAGACAAGTGGAAGGTTGGCTCATTTGTGGATAGTCAGCGATTTGTTCGACCTCATTCAAAAATGGAATTGCTTCTTTAGGGAATGGATCCGGGTCGTCAGGTTCGTTAGGCAAAGAAATTTTATCTCCCACAGGTTTTGTGATGTTTAATATAACCAATTTTGAAAGAATATCCTGGCTATCAGGTTTTGAAAACTTTGCCTTCGCCTCCCATTTCAAACTGGTCGGTCTCTTCTTGTAATCAATCACATACTGGCCTTCTTCTTCTGAATAATAAATATATTTAGGTAACGGGTTGGGACGACTTGCTTCTTCTAATTTAGACGGTTCCTCATCTTCAAATTTGAAACTTCTAACTTTGGCTTTGTCTTTGAATAATTTCTTGTTTTGGTTGAAAGTTGCAAATGTTGAAGAAGAAAATTCTTCTTCGCTCAGCCAATTTTTTTCTAGAACTCTGGAATGGTAACGTTTAACAAATTCTTCGTGAAAAGAAGACCAATCCAATACAACAGGACTTCTAAAAAGCATATTGACACTTGTCCAACAAGGGCAACTCAGAGGCAAACCTTTGCCGATCATTTTTAAATTCGTGTGGTCTTGAAACGTAACATCTTGCATTAGATCGTAATTATCACAAACGTTGCAGTAATCTGTTTGCGTATCAACGCTTACATTATACTTCATGTCAACAGAACCAACGCATACGTGAGGTGCCGAAGGTAGAGTTCTCTCACTCGGTTCCTCTGGGACTGTTGAAAAAATTTTTATCAGGATTGAGAGGTAGTGCGTGTCCAAATTCTGTAAAGCTGGTACCGCATCTTCAGATGCATCTGTTTTAACAGAAACATTAGTGAAAATTGGTTTGTCTTGTACTTGTTTAACTTTCGACGAGGAATCTATTTTAGCTTCCTTTTTTTGCCAGAAAGATGAAACTACAGGTCGTTCAAGCTTGCATGGTTTTTTAAATTTTTGTTTGCAACTTGGTTCAATGATTCTTGGCAGAAGATGTGGATATGCTTTTTTGAAATGATCAAATGGAGTTTCTAATGGGTCGTATATAGAACCCTTGCCGTTCACGGACCAAGCTAAATCTGGAATGCATTCCACAAATATCGCATCGTTCAAGTTGTCCAAATTTTTTGGAATTTTTATGCATTTTCGCACTTTTCTGAGGGATCTAGGAGATTCTGCGAAGCATGAAAATATGTTGATGTAATTGTTTCGAAATAGTTTTTTCAAAAATAAATACTCACTGAGTTTGAAACTTTGATAAACTGATTCGTGAACGTAGCTGTTGGCGAATGTCTTTCCTTTCACTCTTTTCTGAGTAGCTCCTAGCAAACACATCGATAATAAACATCTTATAAAATTTTGTTAAATATAATTGTTAACACAAAGCATTTTTTTGTTAGGGAACGTCATGGATATATATATATATATACATATATATATATACATATATATATATACATTTATATATATATAACAGTCTTATTCGGTCTCCGCATATTCAACTTCATAACTTTTATTCACTTATTTGATATGTTGTTGATTATGAATAAAAGTTTAAAAATGAAAAAAATGAAATATATATATATATATATATATATATATATATATATATATATATATATATATATTCGTGAGGAACGTTAGAAAAATAAATAAATAAATTGTACTGTTGTGATAAGTAGTCATTAAGAGTTTCGGATCTGGTTCAGGCCACTCCTCAAATATACTGTACTGTTCATCATCACTTTCTTCGCCTTCCTCTTCCTTCTTTCTTTCTTTAGCCTCCCAATTTGCCATGGCGATCTCCCTCAAAGTCTGTTGAATCAAGTTGGTCTCGAGTTTGTTGGCGAGAAATTTGACGACATCGATAGGTCTGTTGTGGTGGAAGAGTTCGTAAATGATTTGAATGACTTTTCTTAGGTCCGCTAACAAGTGAACGTTTATCAGATCTTCGGTTTCGTCGTATTCGTCGAAGCTGAAAGATAAAAATTTAAATGAAGTTAATTGCTTGGGTCTTTTGTATAATCGAAATGATTGGTCTGTTGGTTAACGCTGCACAATTGATTGAAAGTACTTTTTATACTTTTAAATATGGATTATAGATGTTGTTCTAATTTAGTGGTGATTTTAATGTAATCTGTGGCTAATTAGATGTAAAAAATTACGTGAGGGAATGAACAAAAAGCAGGCAGCTGAAAAAATAAGAAATGGAATTGCAGTTGTGATGGAGATTCAATAATGAAAGTTAGAAAGTAAAAATATAAAAACTCAATTAAAAGTTAGAAAAATATGGTCTCAAACTTATACTTATTTATTTATACTTATTTATTTACTTATGCTCAAACTTATTTAGTTAATACGTATGAAAATCACAACATGAACAAAAATAATGCTATAAAAACCAACGTTTTTGTGCAATTTCCTCTATCTTCCACTTTAACAAGTATTGGATTTGACGTTTTCTTCATTTTTACCAGCTATTATTTAGCCAAAATGCAAAAACACGAAGATTTGTTTTTATATCGTAATTTACTTTTACATAGATTAACTGTTATATATTACAGATTGATAATATTTTAAAGCCCATTTTAAATAAACGATCCATTCTGGTTCTAGGCTAATAAACTCTTGGATATTGTTATTGTTTTCATTGCAAACGTCAAGAAAAATAGTTAATATTGAAAAATGGTTAATGTATTCTTTACAAAGTATAAAAATATCTCAAGTCCACTAATTATTTAATTTAATTACTTCAAACCTGGATTGTGTCTCAGAGCGATCTTGGTGAAGGAATGATGGAGAAATTAAGGTTGGCATGACAAGACTCCGAGGAAACTCGCATAAGCACCGGCTCTCTGGAAAAATTAAGTGCTCACAGGCCTTGCCATTCATGCATTTAAAAACCCTAATACAATAAAGTATTTTTTAATAAACTAGTAGTCTTGATAGGAACGTTGTCTTGACATGGTTTCAACAAAATGCGTTTGTCCCATTAGAGGCAAGTTATAAGGAAAAAAAATATGACACAAAAATTACACATCACGACTTTGTGATTTTAATCCATTTAAAATGTTATTTGAAATAATATTTTAAGATACGTTAATTTGGATTTTTATCTCTACTTTAAAATCATTTTTAACGAGTTTGGCGTTCAAAAAGAATGTTTTTGAAGGCATGCAGACAAAAACGCTAACTTTTGGTAGTGTCAACTTCGCCATCTTCTTCGTCACCATCATGTTCCCCATCATTCATTGTTCACAAACGCCGCGAAAACCACTTTATATAAGTAATTCTTTGAGTCGATTGTTAAACAAAAACATATAAAATCTAAATGAAAAATAAATAAAAATGAATTAAATATCCGCCACGATCGAATCGAACTCAATGAGCAAGTGAAATTAACGAAATCTTCATTTCAAGAAATTTTCATTTCTCTCTTTATATTTACAAAAAGATGCCTTTAAAACTTAAATCCATCAAAAAACAACAATAAATAATATAAATAAATAAGCTAGTGAAGTTTAAAAACAGTTATTAATTTAAAAATTATCGATATTCCATGTAAAAAACCATTTAACAGTAATAATAATAATATAATAATATTGTTGATAATAAATCAAAGTTACAATCATGATCACAAAGACTCCAGAATAACTTACCGACTAAGTGAATGAATGAACGAATAAATGAATGAACGAACGAATGAATGAACAAACGAATGAGTGAGCGAATATACTAACGAACAAATGATTGTCATCATCATTCTAAATAAATAGTAAAAATAAAACAAACAAAAATCAGGAAGAAAAAAACACGCAATTGTTTGCTCCCAGCTCCCACATAAACAAATATTCTTTCAAATGGGAACCTGTAAGAAAGAGTATAGATTAAATTTTCATATAATTACACAATTATAATTAAAATAATTATATAACATTTACGATAAGTTATAATAGAGAACTACTGACATTGTAATAGTTAACGTGCCTAGTGGCACTGAATGTATGCATCACATACAATGCATGCATGCATACATGTGATGCATTGATTCATGTGTACTTTGTATTCTTTACACATACTAATAACTAAATAAATACTGTAGTGAATTGTAAAGAAAATAAAATGCCTAAAAAAAGATATTAAACAAGTACAACGAATGCAACAAGTGAATGGTTACCAAATAATTCTTTCAGACGTTTATTCTTCATCAAAGTGTGAGTGATGGTGTCAGAGAGTTCATTTGAAGGCTTCAGTTTTTATGTCTTGAGTTTCACTGTACAAAACAAACGAAAAAAAACATTTATCATTTATACTAATCAAGTAAATGTATCAAAGTAGTATTAAAATTTACGGTATCGACATTACAAATACATTTATTCCTGTGATTACTAACTAAAAGAATGTACTAAGGTAGTACTAATATTCCTAGAAAAGAAAGCTTTAGTATATTTTAGTATATTGCCAACATGGGAGAATGTATTAAAGTAGCGTTACTAGCATGTTTAGTATCGTCATTATCAATATATTGCTAGTAATCAAAAGGAACCAACATGTTATGATAATCATTTTCATCATCATCGTCGTCGTCATCTTCGTTCTCATCATCACTAGCAGCAATAAGCTCGTCATTATCATCGCAATTGTTGTTAGTGACGTCACATTCATCCTCGTTTTCATCAGCATCGGCAGCAACAATATCACTGATGTTGAATTCTCCAGATAAATCACCATGACCCCCATTATCGTAACTATCATTCACTCCATCATCATCATCATCTTCTTCCTCATCCTCATCTTCTTTGTCAGAATGATCTGCTATACTATCCACATGAAATTTTCTCTTGGAACTTTTATACTTTTCCAATAGTAATTTCAGCTTTCTCTCATCTTCATCACCTTCATCATCCTCATTATTATCATTATTATTACTAATACCATCATCACTGACGTTCCCATCATCGTCGTCTTCATCGGCCAATTGTATAACTGGGGTTGGCTTTTGTTTTGGTGGTCTGCCTCTCTTTCGTTTGGGAGTAACGACCGTTGATGACGTCGAATTCGTCTGAGGTGTATGCGTTGTTGCTGTAGTTGGTGTGTTGACGCTGCTTCTTGGTGTGTAGTCGTCGTCGTCGTCGTCGTCGCCATCTTCTACCTGTTTGGGGGAAGAAAAAAAGTTAAAACGTACTTGAGAAAAAATCTGATAGAAAATAAATCTGAAATAGCTAAACAACAACTAAGTGACTGTTGTCGTATCAACAACTCAAGAGAACTCAACAAATACTACTTCACCAACAACTACTGCTACTACAATAACTACTACTGTGGCTACACCAACCACGTCTCCATCCAGAAAGCTTGACAACAAAAAAAAACCTTTAAAACTTTTCTTGGCCTGCCTCTCTTTTTCCTCAAGACAGCTGGGGATTTCTTTTCATCACTTTTGCCTTCAACTTGCGCGACGACCTTCAGCCTCTTGTTAACACTGGCCAGTTCGATATATTTCACAGTAGCCGGCGACGAGCTGTTCGGTGTTGCAGTGGAGGACGATTGAGGCTGCCGATTTTGACGTGCACGCCCCTAAAAATGACATCACGTTAATCACTCTATGGTACATTATCATTTCAATAGAAATAATAACATAGATCACTAAGAACAATCGAAATAAAAATACATAAAAATTTAGGCAAGACACAGTTAAGCTCTAAAGACAAATTAAGAGAAAATAAAAACTTTAAAAAAATTGATCCTACCTGTGATTTCATTACCTGATCATCACCATCATCGTAGCTATCATCATCGTCGTCATCATCGTCATCATCAGTATTATTATTCTTCTTTCTACCTCTCTTCCTCTTCCTCTTATTACCATTACCAACCTTAACATCATTACAAATGTCGACGCCATTGATCTCTATGTTGCCACCTAACTTCTTAGTAGTATCGGCATTATTGTTAACAGCAGTAGCACCATCGTTGTCGTCATCGTCAACCGTCTCATCTTCATGGAATCTCAATTCATGGTTCTCCTTGCTGCCCTCGTTGGCAAACATTTTGCCACAGTACTTGCAGCCAAATATTTTATCCCTGTGCTTAAGCTCCTGTTTGTAGTGTATTGTGGTAATGCAAATTTAGAAGTTTTTTTGTATGTTTGTTTCTCTGCGTGTGTGTGTGTGTGTGTGTGTATGATTTGTATCTAAGACTGTTTGTATGTTATGTATGTGTGTCGTGTGTATGTTATGCATGTTATGTATGTATGCTGGTTTTGTAGGTGTGGTTGTGTGTGTAATTGTATGTGTCAGGTGAGTGTTGGTTTCAATGCAGCATATACAATTGTCAAAGAGATTTCTTTAAGAGAATAATAAAATAGATATGTAGATAGATGGAAAGGAAATATAATAAAAAATTGACGGTGTTTTAATGACTCCAATCTGGGCATAACAATATGGAATAAAAGTTGATGAACAGACAATTTTAAGTATTCTCAACCAACCAACTGACCAATCAACTGACCAACCAACTGACCAAAAAACATACTGACCAGCCAGCAAAACAACCAACCAACCTGTTCAGATTTTCCTTCATGTGAGATTGCAAAATGTCTTCTAAGTAAGGTCTTCTGCCTGAAGCCCTGCTGGCAGATGTGGCATTTAAACGGTCGTTCCCCAGTGTGCGTCATTATGTGGTTCTCCAGGTGGCGCTGTATACTGGCAGAGTAGGGGCAGAGCTCGCATTTGAAACACTTCTGCCCGTCGTGCGTTCTCGAGTGAATTCTATGGAATTGTTGCAAGTGTGTGGCTAAATTATTTTTAGAGATAAGAAAATAAAATTTAAAAAAAAAAATTTTTATTTCACAACATGCAATAACGCAAAATTATCACTTAACAACAAGCTAAAATTACTCTGCAGGCCAATAAAATGAACAAAGAAATGAATGATATAAATAAACAACGAGCCAACAAAAAAAAAATAAATAAGAATGCATACTTAAAAAATAGATACGCAGAAAAAAATATTTTTTGAAAAACTGACTTGTATGTGTATCGATCAGGAAAATTTTTTCCACACTTCTTGCAGAGTAAAGGTTTGTCACTTGTGTGAATGCGAAGAACATGGTTTCGTAGGTCAGTCTTTCGAGTGCACGTTGACGGGCAGAGTTCACAGCGAAAGATTGGTCTAGCCCCTAAAATTGGGTATTCACGGATAAATAATAATGATAGTAATAGTAGTAGTAGTGTGGTACTAGTGGTAGTAATTATGGGTAATTAGATTGATCACATTCAGTCAGAGCAATAAGATGCAGTAAACTAAATACTGATCGAATTAATGATTTAGAAAAAAATGCAAAACATTAGCAACAAAAAAAAAAGAAAATTAGGAGTGATTAACCAACCGGTATGAATAAGCCTATGTGATTTGAGGCTGTTACTCTGCGTGAATCTCATCTCGCAGATGTCGCAAACATACGGGCGCTCCCCTGGTTAATTGGGAAGAAAGATCAACCATTATACAATACATTATCCTCATCATTAGTAATAATATTTAAAAGGTTCTAGCATTAAAATCAATCAAATAATTTATCATTAATCAACCAACAGACCGATCAATCAAACAACTACTACCAATCAAACAATTAGAACAGCTTTTTGACCTACCAGTATGTACTCTGAGATGTCTCTTAAGTTTGAACGTATCGGGGCTTGCGTAAGGACACTCGGGGCACTTGTAGGGTCGTTCTCCTGTGTGGGATCGTACGTGTCGTCGAAGTTTGCTCAACTCGACACTGGCGTAGTTGCAGACTGTGCACCTGATGTGGCAGTGAAGGTACGATATCTAACTAGATGAAGCATTCTTTGTAGCTATCATTTTAAGACTGCACCACCATTTCAACATCATCACCATTAACAATAATCCAGTAATAATATCAAACCAGCAGATAAACTGTGAGCAATACAAGTTATGGAGCTTTAGATTTATTCTAAATAAAATTTGATTTGAAATAAAATAGCCCAATAATGTTCAAAAAAAAAAAATTAAGAAATGAATGAACAAACACGAACCTGTGTGGTTTCTCATAAGTGTGCCTGTACCTAACGTGCCTAATTAGTTCTCCAGTGGTCGTGAAACAGGCCTCACACTCCTTGCACTTGTTAGGTCGCACTCCTTTGTGAGTGTTAGTGTGGTTGTTTAGTGTAACTCGAGATTTGAATGCCAGGGCACAGAATTCACACTTGAAAGGTCTGTCATCTGAGTGCGAGCGCAAATGTCTGATCAGTTGAAATCGTTTCGTCGTCATGTAGGAGCAGTAATTACACTTCAAGATTGGGCCAGATACCTTTTCTACAGAAGCATTTAATAATTTTATAACTTCATCATCTTCTTCATCATCGTCATCTTCTTCATCATCATCCTCTTTATCTTCATCATCCTCTTCCTCATTCTCATCTTCACCGTCGTCTTTTGTTTGATTTTTGCTTTTATTAGCTGTGATGTTGGCATTACAATCCTCATCAAAGTCAAAGACAGACATACCATTTTGGGGAAGAACGATTTGTTTGGGGGCACTTTCATCATTAACATATGCACCACCATTGTCATTCTCGTTGTTAGTGACAATTAGCATGTACCTCATCTCTCCGTCTGGATCGATTTCAGAGGGCACCAACGTCACAGTCTGAAAATTACTGGCTTCGCCACTCGCATCTTGCTGTTGGGGAGGTAGGATTGTATTTTCTTCTGTCTGAATTTCATCATCTTGACTAGTTTCATCATCATCATCGTGTTGAGTGATATCATTGGTTACCAGTTCAGTCGAGCACTGTTTCTGTTGTAACTCGTTGTATATGTCATCGCTGTTCGAGAGGATATTGTTAGATGTGTAGAGAAATGATGAGGTGTTGCCTGAGTTAGGCAGATCATCAGACATTCCATGATTGAAGTTTACTAAATAACTTTCAATGTCTTGTTCGTCCATTGCTTCTTTTTAAGTTCTATTCTTTCCAGTTCAGTTTTCTTTCAGTCAGTGGCTTTTAATCACTCTGAAATCAAAATTAACCCAAAGTAAATAAACCAAATCTCATGTAATGAATGAATAAAAGACTGACACAAAATTCAATCAACTATTCTAAAAACAAAGTAATTTTTGCAGCAATCAACAACCAATGAGAAGTTAAAAGGAAGACTTGACAAATTTAATTAATATTTAACATTGGCACTGAACATATTTAGTAAATAAAAATAAATAATTATAAATTTCAACTCTCAATTTTATTAAAATTTAGTAAAATTAGTTTCAGAACTTGAAAAATTAAACTAATCAACGGAAGCAACCGATTGAAAAAGAACCAGATTGAATGAAACAACAACAAACAAATCAATGAGGTGAAGAGGCAAGAAAACAATTTTCAAAAGGCCGCTTTTTTTCAAGCGATCAATGGAAAACAAGAACAGAAAAGAGAGAAATAAGCAGCCACTGTTGCAACAAGACGCAACCAAATGAGGGATAACAAAATAAAAAATAATAACGACAAAAATAACAATCAATTTAAAAAATTAAAAAAAAATTAATATTAAAAACCAACAGTCAAAATAAATTTTCAAGCTTTTCAACGGAGGGCAGTAGTTAGGGCGAGCGACGAAGAAACTTTTTTTATAGATGGCGGTAGCGGAAATAAAACAAAGACATGCGTAAAATTTAAGTGATGAGGAGAGTAATTTTTATTTTTGTTCAAGTGACAAAATAACATTCGCTAGTTTTGAACGTTTTTTCAAAATTATTTGAAAATATTCTAATAATTACTTATTTTAATTGAAAATGATCTTTTTTATCAAAAATACTTAGAGTCTGACGTTTAAAAGATATAAAAACAGCTGATTTGTCTATTAACACTAAATTAGCACAATAATTGTGGTTTTTGACTGTACCTATATGGTTTAGTGGTTTTTGATATTTAATAATCTTAAATTTCTATAAATTTTTTATTTCTATTCTTTTGATAAGTTTCATCCTAAAAGAAGTACATTAGAATTATACCTCTTGCAATATCCGTCTCAACTATCACCACTATAACAGTTACCCACCCATTAGAGCCCCAAGCAGAGAAAATTTTTCTAAACCGCAACCGCGAAAAGACAACCTAAATCGGCCGTCTTAATCCCATGTTTAAAATTAGAAAGCAGCAAAACTAGAAAGCAAACTATTTACAATATAATTATAGTCAGACAGCAGATAATCTGCTTGGAAGACATCTTTTAATTTAAAAAAATTTTTTAATTTAATAATTGAAATAACATCGCTAAAACAACAAGCAATATATATATATATATATATATATATATATAAGTCTCGAGACCATATTTATAAGTATGCACGTACATATATATTTGTATTTTAATTTGTATATACGTATGTGTGTATCGTATATGTGTATATATGGTTATATAACAACACAAATTAACCAAACACACAATCAATAAATTCGAATGTTCAACCAACCACTCATCCATCCAAACATTTATTAAACAAGCAGATTACCTCAACCAATCAATCAATCAACCAACCAACCATTCATTCAATCAACTAATCAGCCAAACAATCGACCAATCAATGAACCAAATTGAAGGAACCAAATAAACGAAATAAAAAAAAACAAAAATAAATAAATAAAATATTTGCAAGGCTTGTTCAAACTCGAACAAACACTTAACCGTACAGATCTACAAACAATTTCGAGATTTTAGTAAAGAAAGACAAACACATTGGATGCTTTTATTTGAATTCATTCAAAAATAAAATGTGACGGTTAATTAAAATTTTAAAAACATTATTTTTTTTAAAATTCGTATTTTAAACAAACAAACAAAATATCGACCGATAAAAAATAATTATTATCCATTATAATTATTATTATAAACACTCCATAGTAGTTCTCAGAGAATGATTCACGTAACAATAACATTTAGTAAGAACAGTTCACAGTATATCATAATGGCTAAATCAACATACCAAACAGAAATTATTTATGCATACATATATACAAAGTAATTCAAGAAATATCAAAAATTATATAACCAAATTTAAAAAACTAGAAACCAGTCAACATTTAATAAATAAATAGACATTAATAAAAAATTGTTCAAAAAAGTCAAATTTAAGGCGACAACGAAAATGAAATGTAGTTTTGTTGGTATGGTGTTGTGAAGCGAAAACAAACACATCACACAAAATTAGTAAGAAGTCGCAAGAATAGTAGTCAGTCACCTACCTACAATTTAATTACTCTCAGGGCCCTAGCTTACTTATAATCATTAACTCAACTCACTTACCTAGAAATTTGTATTTCTACGTTTAAGGAATTTTACACGTTTCAGGTATTTTATTTAACATATTTTAGCGTTTTAATTTTACTTGAAACTTTATAACTAATGTTAAGCCCTAGCCTACCTACGATTGTTCAACTCATCTCAATCCCTACCTTACCTACGAATTAAATTAAAGTCCGGTAAAGAAAATAGCAAGTTGAAGAGAAACATAACAACGACACCGAATGAATGGATGTTGTGTATGTGTGTGTTGTATTGATGTGTGTGTGTGTGTGTGTGTGAATGTGCGGCGTGTACTCTCCAGAAACTTCACTCACTACCTCCATTGCACCGACCATCATCAGACACGCATCGATGGAATGAATTTGACTGGGTACTGAAAATCACTAAATTGAAAAAAAATTAATTAATTAAAATAAAAAACAAGTCATTGGAAAAATAGGCAACCTATCTTTTTGAGATAACACTCAATGCTTTGTTCAAATTCGAGTACTTTCAAGGGTACAATGGGACAAAAACCAATTTACTTTTAATATTATCTTCGAATTGTCATCGGAACGATCATCATGAGACCACCATCTGAAACGTGCTGACGCCCACCACAGCCCACCTCTCATCATTCTGTAGACAAGTTTCTTTTAATTAGCGTGTTGGTAAATCAAGGAACAAAGGAACGAACGAACGAATAAATGATTAACTGAATAATTGAACAATTGTATGAATGAATGAGTGAATGAATAAATCAATCAATGATTCATTTAATGAATAGAATGAATTAATGAATCAATTAATGGAAGAATGATTTAAAAGGTTGAGTGATAAAATGAAAAAATAAGAAAAAAAAACGAAACTAAACCTTACTTCAAAACTCGTCGTTACTGTAATCCATTGCACCGACCACCACCATCTGGTCGGCACACAAGATTTCATCCGAACTTCAGAGTGTCAGTCGAACAGCCAACGAGCTGATTCTTCCTACACCACCATCATCATACGTAAATCATCATGAGACCACTATCTGAAACGTGCTGACTCCCACCACTGCCCACCTCTCATCATTCTGTAGAAAAATTTTTTTATTTGCGTGATAGTAAATGAATGTTAGAATCTTAGAAGCAAAAAATTATAAAATGGATATAATGGCAAATAAATAATATCTGAAAATAATAAAGAGATTAAAATGTAAAAAAAATTTACCGTCGTCCATTCGCAAAGGCAGAATGTTGAATGCTGTCCGGTTCCTACGTTGATCTCCAAAACTGGTGCCAGTCCTTCTCGAGATTGTTGTTGAAACACAGCCCGTGGAATGGAGAAAGAGAAAATTCTCATCAGAAAGCGGTGCCTGCATCTCAAATTGCTTAATAAAAATAATCCTATCTACCTATTCAATTACCTTAACTAATCTATATTAAATTGTTAATGGTACGATAGTCAAAAGTCCCCCTTCATTCTCCCTCCTTGTACAGAAGTTTACCGATAACCAGGGCACCGGATAGTAAACCATTGCCGTACGGATAGTAGACTATTGCCGTGCGGATAGTAAACCATTTGCCGTCCGGAAGCCGTGCGGGTAGTAGACTATGGCCATGCCGCATAGTAAATCATTACAGTGCAGATAGTAAACCATTGCCGTCCGGATAGTAAACCATTGCCGGTACACCACTGGCCACCAAGGCTCACCTCTGACAACAGACTTCAAAATTCAGAGTCTATCGGCTATCGTACCCTCAACTTACCTATTCGTTACAATTAAATACTAGCTTACCTAAAATTACAAAACTCAAGAGCCCAATTCATTGGCCAATCGGCACCCACCCCACCACCTACGTAATGCCTTGGGCTCCAACTTAGTAATAATAATATAAAACTTAAACCCTAAATCTATTAATGAGTATGTTACAACGTAGCCTTAACTTACCTATTCATTACATTATGGCCCTAGCTTACCTAAAATTAAAAAACTCAAGAGCCCAATTCATTGGCCTTTCGGCACCCACCCCACCACCTACGTAATGCCTTGGGCTCCAACATAATAATAATAATGTAAAACTTAATAATTAACCTACCTATCGATACACTTACAGCGTTTTAATTTACATTACAAGATTGTTCTTAGAACTACATTATTGCCCTTAACTACCTATGAAATTAAATTACTCTCAACCTTAGTAATAATAAATTAGAATGTGTAATGAAAATAAAAATACGCTCAAATACTAATATATGTGTTTATGTATGTATTTGTGTGTGTGTGTGTGTGTAATACGCTGATGCGTGTAATGTGGGTGCAAGAAAAAAATAGAAGCAATAAACTTACGCGCCTACCTATTCAATTACATTAGTGTTGAATGCTTCCTATCTATCCTACCTACAATTAAAATTATGCCTATCTAACCTACCTATATAGCTACTTAATGTTATTGTGTGTGCGTGTGTGTGCGTGTGAGCATTCTTACTTAATGTTAAATTACAGAGAAAAACAGAGAAAAAAGAATAAAACGTATCCCAGCCAGGCGTGTATTCTTTGCCACTGGATGAATGAACGTAGCCTGACATCTTCCCTGATGAACTCATCTGGAAGCTTCAACCTGAATGAAATGAATAAAATGAAAAAATCTCATTTATTTAATTAATTTAAACAAAAATAAAGAA